TGCAAATGGCTTATATCATCGGTAAAAATAATGACTTTAGCTTTGTGACTGTATGATGTGGGCGTTGACTAAAGTGAAGCAGTCATCATCAATGATTAAACTGATATCGTTATTCTCAGCAGAAGGAGGAGGTCAAGCATCCGGCAGAAACGAAGTCTGACGCAAAGTTTGGGTATTATTAGATAAAGTGATAAAATCCACATCACTGACCTGACATATGCTCAGTATGAATTGTTAATTTATGCGAAAGAACGAGCTTAGTTACAAACAGAAGGACAGAAACTCCTCTGCACATGTGGATGAATCGCAGGCTTTGTGTAAATCCTGTCTAACACACACACACACACACACACACACACACACACACACACACACACACACACACACGCGCGCGCGCACACACTGAGACATACAGGAACTGCATGATTGCGGAACATTAATGGGGGGGAGGGTTTGATTTGAAAGAAAGGCGCTGACAATATGTAAATATCCACACAGTGTTATGCAAATGAAGTATAATGACATTTGATGACAGTACAGCATTTATAATAATAATCACAAACCGTTTTCAGCGTCAGTGAGGACCTTCCATTAGGTGCAGTTAAAGTAATGCCCCAGCAGTTTCAGCAGATGTCTTTCTTTCCTATAAGTTTCTACTGTATTTAATACATAGTAATGGTTAATTACCATAATCCACAGGTGTCAAACATAAGGCGTGAGGCCAGTTCCATCATGCCGCATCACTTTATGTGGTCCATTAAACCAAATAACATCTACTTCATATTTCCTGCCAAATGGGACTGTACTTTTGTTCGGTAAATTGAAGAATAGTTGTACACTGAAATTCTTGCACATTCGGGCACACGTGATAACAATGATCTATGTTGTTGCGACCGCTGGAGTGACGAAGAGTGAGCGAGTGGAAGACAAAGGATGTGTCGTTGGGGGGAGTGATCGAATGAGACAGAGTTGACATGCCTGGATGAGGAAGTCGTGACAGTGAACACGTGGGTGTGGCTGCTTGGCCGTTACCTCATCAGCCTCTCCGAATGAGGAAGAAAAAGCCTCGTGGTGGATGAGGATGAAGAGGATGAAGCTTTGGCGCGGGCTGCCTCACACAATGGACACAAAGGTAGGCACGATAGCCTCCGCTGGATGATTTGAAAGGCCTGTTTTGGTGAAGGGCAATTGATGGCGGATGACAGACCGAGAGACATGAGCAGACAGATGGAGATGTGACAAACAGGCGGGTCATGAGGGGGTAGAAGCCTTTTGGGCCCTGAGGGGAACAGGCCTCAGCGTTGACATATGCTATGCAGTGAGATGAAGATTGGCATGACCTGCTAATGTGAGCTGTCACTGCTCATGGCAGCCTCGATGCTCACCTGTCACACTCTTCCAAGCCTGGAGGACGAGCTGCCACCAGGTTAGGTCAAAGATTCATTTTCTCTAGGGGGAGAAATGCTGATATAAAGCGACACTGGGGAATAAACTTCCAGCTAGCCCTGTTTTTTGCCTCCTCCTGAGTCTACACACTGCTGGAATAAAAGACCAAGTCCTGCTTGTAGTGGCTTTGGCTCATTTACGAAGGAGGAATCCATACTGTGTGTAAAGTCAGCAAGTAAAGGATTTCCGCTAACTTACAAGCAAAAATGTTGACACGTTGTCCAATTCCACATTTTAATTGGTGACAGGTCTACACTTGAAACGCATTCTGAAGTTTGATCGATACAAAGTTTGTCTCAGAATAGTGTGGGAGGATTGTGAACATAATTCGCAGCCTCCGCGGTACTTTATTTTTTCTTCCGGAAATAAATTAAAGTGCTTGCTATGATGTGCGCATCTTTTAAAACAATGATATTTAAAGCAAAGAGCAGCTGCGTGCTACTTAATGACAGAAGTGTGGGGGATGTTGCTTCAAAGAGGAAGTAGAGGTGCCAAACGTGGCGTCGCCCGCAATGCAGACTTCCTGTCTGCGTTGTCAAATAAGCCTCCATGGAATAAGTGCACCCACTTTAACTGTCCAAGCCCTATTCGACCCCGTTGTGTACATATCCATGATACCTTGTGAGTCGTCTATGATTTGTATTGGGTTTTTTTTTGTACTGTGTAACCATAGCAACCATCAATGACAACATAATATAAATCATGCTTGTCAACTTCCATGATCCTTGCTAAAATCTGGACCGAAACGTCAAATTGTCATGTGTCATAAAAACGTTGACATTTTGCAATAATTTTGTTACCCTGATAATACTCACTTGAACAATAATTTAACAAACAACAAACAAATAGTTGACTGATCTCAAAACTAGTAAACCTTTTTTTTTTGTGTGTGTGTGTGTGTGTGTGTGTGTGTATACAAGTAATAATACGATGTGATGATTTAACATTTATTCGGTCTCAGTGTCGTAACGGCCCTCCGAGGGAAGACGTAACGCCAAAGTGGCCCGCGACAAAAATCAGTTTGACGGCGCTGCCCTAATGAGTGCAAGCGTTATAGATCACGGATAGAAATGTATGAATGTATAATAGACTGCCACTTTTAATACAAAGTGACACCTTGTTTTGTTGTTGTGTTAGTTGGCTAATTGCAAGTTACTATTTGTACAATCTTCAATCATCACATTGTGTTAACTTAATATGGTGCTCAACTGTTTTCGATGAAATTCGTCACTGTTGTTTCACACCACTTCAAAATGTGTTGTTTTATTTTAGATTTACTTGGCTTCTCTGGTGTTTATGCTGTCTCCATTGTTAAATGGTAAGTGACACAATTTTCTTCATTGTAAATGTTACTAGGATCGATTTGACCCAAGTATTATACAGTTCACTTTTTGCTCTTGCCTGGTCCTTGCTGAGCTGTGATTGACCAGTGAGCATTTTGAGGATGTGGCTGACTGAAACAATTAAAATGACCGCAGATCATGCAAAGTTGTTGAAAATGCAGCTTAAGCGCAAGAAATTAGAAATACTTGAAAGAGGTTTGATGGTAATTGAAAGGTGCTGAGAGTCTGAGTGGCGAAACAAGGGCCCTTCTGTGCTTTGAGTGGTTCACAACAATCCCACAACAATGCAGCTCTGTGGTCACTGGAGCTTTCATGAGAGCCACATCTGTGTACTGTAACTACACCGCACTCACAAGACCATTACTTGGACATACTGTGAGGCCTCTCCGCTCGGCATGGCTAGACTCGTTGTCACGTGGGTGCCGGGACAACAGACATTGTGTGAGGCGGTCACAGCTCTGTGCTTTGTTCTTCCACTACACTCCACTACAACTGCGGCTTGTTATCAAACACCATTATTACTATTACATGTCTTCTCTACGCAGTGTCAAAGGCCATCACAGCTGAACCTTTCACTCCAACATCTGGTCTGTTCATTTTTAGCTCCGGCTCCCATCATTTAATCTGTCAATGGCATTGTGATTTTTTGTATAAAAAAAAAAAAAACTTGGTGTAACAGGAAAAGGACAGGAGCCCACGAGTATCGTTGACCCTTTAGTGATCAACGTTAACCAGAGCATCATCATCAGTAGTTCCATCAACATCAGCACCACCAAAACAGAAACCAGCACCCCAACAGGTACAGTATTTGGATGTGATATTAGACGTATTAGATTTAAAGTCTAAAAGCAATAAAAATCTACCCATCCATCCATCCATCCATCTAGCGATTGATTATTGTTTAACCGGCTGTGAATTATCGTGAAGCTTTGTGTTGCTGTAGTTTCCAGTGAGGGGACAACAGAGCGCCTCAGTGAGCTGACTTCTACGCCAGGTAATAGTCTCCACCCTGGAGGTTGCTGATGTGTTTGGAGCACCCAGCTGGTGAAGTTATTGAGTTTGTCATAAATATAGTAGATCATAGTAGTGGGGGCAAGGTCACGGGTGTAAAATGAATCATGTGGTCATTCTGTTCAAGGGAACAATAATGGAAGTAGAGTGAGTGAGTGTGTGTCAGCCATTTAGGTCTGCGAATAAGTTATTATCTAGAAAGCCTTTATTGTCATTGCATGGTGCAATTATCACAAATTTGATATCATTAAAATATATTTCATTCCTTTTTTTCCCCCTTCTAAGTATAGTTTTAAAATTGGGACCTGTTTCTTGTAAATTTACCACTTTGCCATAATTGCAATTCTATTTTTGGAATTGTGAACATTTTTTAAAATGACTGATCTTTTTGCATTCTGTGTTTCATTCAACAAACCTGCAGTTTCGGTAGCTTTTGATGTAGTTCGTCTAATGCAGGGTTCACCAAAGTGGGTATATTTTGTATGATGAAGTATTAAACCATTCTACTGGCAAGTATTGCATGAGCTCATGTATTAGTATACTCATAAAGAAAAAATGCATTTGGATTTGTCATTTTAACCGCATTGAGTTTTGACTACAAATAACTTTTTATAAACAGGTGTTTCAAATGGCAAACATAGCCAAACTTATCAAATGTATTCTTAAACATGTTGTAAATCCTTGCATTGTTGCAAGGAACCGTGAAGAAAATCTGTTAAGTATAATGTATTGTTTTTTGTTGTTCCCCCCTCCCCGATGACAGCAGCAGCAACATCCTCCTCCCCAGCCACCCCGAACAAAACCACCAAAAACGAGACCTATCAAGAGCTTGCCTGGGGTAACCAAACATTTTCCTACTCCATCGGCACATTAAATGCCCCGGGCGTCTACATTTTTATTGTTATCTCTGGCAGGCTGACAATGTCACTATTCCCAGCCTTCCAAACAAAACACACGGCAGACTGGAGGAACAGAACACCTCAGTTCCTGTCTTGCCGGCAGATTCATGCTCGATTGTATCTTTTGCAAGAGGAGATAAGATGTCGGTGATACACCGTCATCAAATGTGTCAGCGGGGATACGAGATGTGTCGCCTCCAGTTGGCTCTCCAGAATGCTTTTCCTGTTTGCCACCTTCTAACTTATTTCTCTACTTTTGTTGTAGATCCAACTTGGGATCAAGCTTTCACATATGGTAAGATTTTTTTCATTCTGCTCTACTCTGTGGAGTTTACTTGTTCTCCCCCTGCTTGTGTAGGCTCCCTCCCACTTTCCAAAAACATGCATGTTTGGTTCAGTGGAGATTCTAATGGACCATGGGTGTGAATGTGAGTGACAATGGGTGTTTCTCTATATGTGCCTTGCAATTGTCTGAGGCATATGCTCGCAAGTTAAATGCCTCTCAGGTCATGCAATTTCTGACAATAAGTTGACTGGAACTGAGACTCCCAAAAAGCAGGTCTAAGTGGTGGCACAGATAATGTAACAGAATTTTGGTGGATTTGAGCGAGGCGCAGGCAGACAGATTCGGCACTACGTGGACATGTGTGCTGGATGTCATCGTATCTCATTCGTAAACATGACAACAGCGTGGGACAATTACTCTGAATTGTTGTAGAAATCAATATTCATTGAAGTAATTATCATTATCATGAAAATATTTTAATAGCAGCCCCCTGACTGTGCATCACAGCTATGAAAAAAAGCCCTATGTGCGTTTTGCTTTTCTTTGACTTTATTTGCTAGACACATTCTAATAGAAAGACTAGGCTCAACAAGGGGTGAGAGTGGAACACAAAAGCAAATACCGTGCAACCTCATTTTAAAAACAAAAATTCCCATTCAAATTAATGTAAACTGAGTTAATTCCATTTGGCTGGCAAGCAGTCTAGGGTCACCTGGGATAGCTTCCACCTCACTTGTTGTTAGTTTGTGACACACACACACACACACACACACACACACACACACATCAGTGTTTTTTTTTTTTTTGTTAAAAAAAAGTTGCAAAGAAAATAGGTAAATACCTCCCCGCGCCCACAAAGAAAAAAAAAAACTGGAAAACACAAACTAGTGGTGCAAGGCAAAATGCAAACAACAGGACCACAACAAAAAGCAAAGACTAGGAACGTACACGGCTTACTGAGATGGGAAGCGGGTCGCTAGGAAGATGCCAAAACTTACAGGAGTAAAGATAAAAAACGAAGCATGTCACTCCCAGTGTGCAGTACAACTTTATTACTAGTGCGAGACCGAATGCAAGACTGCTGTCGGCTCCAAACAAGGAAACAAAGGGAACGATCTGGTGTGCATAAAGCGCTGAAGGCCGAGAGCTGATTAGTAATCCCTCCACCCAACTCACTGAGACTCCAAGGTGCACAAAAATTAACTCAGGTACGAGCCAGATGGCAGCAAATAATTTGGACAAAACATTACTCAGACAGAAAATGTGAATACCTTGAGCATAATGAAGACAAGTGCGATAGAAAATGGATGTGGAATATACGAATTGGCAAGAAACATTGTTACACTCGAGAAACAATCTTCCAACACAAATCCGAACTTGGGGTTTTGCAGTATGTTGAGTCTGACTTTGTCATATACATTTGTTATTTTTAGATTATTGGTCCCTGCAAGTGACTGGGCTGTCCATCGCTGGACTTCTTTTCCTGCTCGGCCTCATGGTTTTCGGCTGTAAGAATATTCATCTGTGATTAATTGAAATTGTCATGCTTAATGTAAACTTTTTTTTCCTCACTGACTTGTGTAGGTGGTAAGGTCTGTCGGCTTCCCAAGTGTCGCAAGAGGTCATCAAAGTAAGAAATGTATTCATTTTTATTCATATACGGTGCACTGAAAAAACGTTTTTTTGTTTTTGTTTTGTTTTTTTAAGTAAAATGCAGTTCCACTATGCGTGAAGGCTAGCTGCTTTTATCATGGCCGGGCAGAGGGCTGAGCAATTCCTATTACACCAGTGGAGAACATTCGACGCACAATCAATCACTTGGGTACAACAGAATGCTGACGAAGACGTTTGCAGTGATTAAATGATCCAAATCATAAGAGTCTTTACTACCACTACCAAAAAAAAAAAAAATGGAATGGGTTGATTTGCTTTCAGATGTGTAGTAAATAGTTTGCTAAGATAATCATGTTGTTTTGTGTTTTTCAGGTCATATAGTCTGGAGCAAAGAAAAGGAGATATACCGTTATGAACTTCATCTTGTCTTGTTATTAGTTGAATTAGGTATAAGGTTTCTTTTTTTTCCAGACAGTGGTCTGGAAAAAATTCGTTGAATTAGGTATATGGTTTCTTTTTTTCCAGACAATGGTCTGGTCAACCAGTAGTGAAGAAAAAAAACTCTTAGCTAGCTGACACTTGGACCTTAGCTCCGACAAAGGCTGAAGTGACAGCCGAAACTGTCATCTAGTTAAGAGTTTTTCTCTTCACTTCAAAAGAAGACCACTGTCTGGAACAAAAGAAACCTTAAACTAAAAAGGAGAGATATTGTCATAAATAGCCATTGACCAACAGACAACTGCAACTCGGTCTTGCGTGTCAAGTTGACATGGGAAATGTGTTCACAAGGCAGAAAGTGGTATTGAATTTGTTGAAAATGTCTTTGTCAACCTACAATAAAAAACAAACAAAATTATTTCCATTTACCAGTCTTCATATATGAGAGCCTTACTGGCAATTTTGTACAAAGCATTTCAATTTCATCAGCAAGTAAACCTGGACCATTTTAAACCTGACATCTTCATGCTGGTTTGTAAAGGGCGTTTGAATCTCTTCGTGGTTCAACGCTAGTGAATATAGCTCAGAGAACCATCCTGATCGACCGGCACATTACCTCGACATTGCTATGACAACAAATACGATGCGAACGGGTGAGAGAGAAAAACAGCACGAGTACATTCCAAAAACAGATTTAATAACACAATCAATTCTGTTTACTGCTGGAAAGCACGTTCTAAATGAGCAAATGATAGAATGTTTTGAACTCCTTTATTAAATGTTGTTTGTAGGATTGTGTACTTAAATTACTTGTTGGAAAAAAAAAAACATGGAAAGGTTCATACAAAGTGACACATACACAAGTATATATAAATATGGACAATTACCCTTGACTTTTACAACCATATTGGTAAATATTTGACACCAACCAAATGCTTTCAACAAGAAGGGTGTTACATGGACTAAGGCCATAATGCAAATATTATGCTCTGTAATTTTGGACATTCATGGCTCCAATATTGGACCGAGCTTATGTAATGGCAGTTAAAATGAAAGTGATGCATGTGGAATGATGGGAGTTTGGCCAAATGATGTCTTGCCTGTTCTGCACAAGGCTTTAGAAAAGCGTTCAAAGAGGAGTATTTATATGTTGAGGCAAATGAAATGTTTTGAATATCAATAATTCTATTGTCCCTTTTGAAATGCTGACACGGTGACAAAGTGCGGCAAGGTGTAATGGGAAAGCACAATGGTATCCTATTTGTTTCCAAAGGCACAGTTTAATTCCGTGTTGCCTTTCTCAGAGAGCTTCTCACTCCACGGCGAGCGAAAACTGAAGAGGCGCGCCCCCCCGTCCAATTCAACCTACAAAAAGTCACCCCCCTAACCCGCCCAAATAACCTACGCTACGTGTTGTTGAAATGAAAGCTTTGCTTCGCAGGGAATAATTGATTTCCGCGAAAACGACAGCAGGGAAACATCACGCTCTGTGTGGATGGAATGGAGGGATTGTTGCTTTGTTCCCCAATCGTCCATTAGGCTTTATTTGATTCATGAGATTTTCACACCCGGCCTTTCCTCCAACGACTGTGAGCCATTAACCTGCCTCCTCGGCAGTCACACGGCTATTTACAAGCTGCACAAGAAGAGAGAATTTTCCAAAACAAAAAGAGAAACGGAAACATCCTCATTCACAGCAGTCAATTAATTTTTTGCTTTGAGAGCTGGTGTTTGTCCTGACAGTTTCCATTTTGGGGGTGGGGGGGAGTGTCTGATGAGAATAAGGGGATGGCTGCGTACATTTTATCTTCTATTCCACAGCATGTTGTCAGTCTTACTGGGCCAGTAACAAAAATTGTCAGACAAGCGACCAGGAGAGGCAAGTGTGGACTTTTGGCTGGTTTAGTTTGGATTAGCACAATTAGTCTCAGTCAATTTCACATGGATAGGTCTCCTCCATGTGTACCAAATTAAATATTCTTTGGCTGTGCAGATTATTTCTGCTAATAAAACACCACGGGCAGTGCAAAAAAATAAAAATCCTTTTAAAAAAGCATTAAAACTATGTATTGCCTTTTGATTGAGATTCCCAAAATAGAATCCAATTAATTAGAAGGTTTGAATATGTTCCAAACGTCCTTAAATTAGTTATTTGTTGGGTACAAACAGCAGGAACACACAAAAAGCATATAACAGCATTACTTATGGATTGATAGACTTTGTAGGAGCAATACACTGAGCTATAAAAGAAGCATGATACTTGTAATGAGATGATATTGCCTGCTGAGTCGCTCTTGCATGCGTGTGTGCTCCAGATTCGGTTCTTTTCCAGGAACTAGACTGCCCCTTTCTGGTCCTGCTCGGTAGGCATAGAGTAAATCCTAGTGAGACAAGGGGAGTGGCTGGAGAGGGTGGGTGTGGGGGAGGGTGAAGAGACAGATGAGGTGAGGTGGAGCAAAAACAAACATGTCATCCTCTCGATATTTTCGGCGACTTCTACATTTAGCAGCAGGAGGAACATCCGAGTGTCGGAACTCAGGAAATGTATGGCTGTCTCAAGCAGCACAGTTCTGACAGGTGCGCAGAGGCTGCAGTGCCTCAAAACACAGATCACCCCGGGTGGGTTTGTTGATCCAACAAGCCAGAGGTTGCTGTGTGATTAAGCGTCTTTTCAGCAGTGAGATCAGTCAGCAGCAAACACGGCTAACACACGCACGCACAAAACACATTGCAGGCCCAGGGGGCAGCCAGTAATCCTGCAGAGGAATTCAACCCTTCAAGCTTGACTTGAATGTCGGCTCAACAAATGCTCCAAGATCGCTGGCATCAAGTTTGAACTTTGGAACCACACATTGACCCAAACTGTGGAGCAAGTATTTATACCACTCCGAAACAAAAGAAAACCCCTGCTCTGCAGAGTGATACCACAGCACCACATTCAATTAAGTAAGTAAGTAAGGAAGGAAGGTGGCACGGCATGAAAATTGTAGGTGTATGTATTTTTTCCTATCTTGTTAAATCACTGTCGATACTGTCATTATTGTGAGACATGATCAGTGTCTTCACATAGATGAATGATCACAAATCAAGAATAATACCATATAATTAAAGGTAATTTAAAGCTAATTTGTTCAGGCTTAGGGCTGGACAATTAAATCAAAATGTTAAAAATATTTTTAAAAAAAAACAAAAAACAACTAACATACAGAACGCCACAGTGTGTTTACAAGTTCCTGATGTTGTGTAAGTACTCTGAATGCACCTTGCTGCTTGCGTATGATTCTGATGTCTCTGAGCATGTTTTAAACTGTTTAAAACACCTTGTTGGAGTTTAGTGTGAAACTAAACACACAATAAAAAGAATGGCACTCATTGTATATTTAAATACTACAAAACATGCTTCAATTTTAAGACACCACCAGCACTAATAATAAGTAATCTCCCACTGACATGCTAACGGAGACATGAGCATTAACTTTGTGTCAGATATTCTAGAACGAACACCAGACGTAAACGCTGGAGAAACACGTACACACAGATAACACTGCACAAAAGGCCCAAATCCTTCCCAAATCTGTGAAAACGAAGCTCTATTGATAGACTCCAATCGCAGCTTTCTTCTGATGTCATTTTTTAGCGTGTCCATGCACTGCATAACACTGCCCCAAGAAGGTAAAAGGCGCAGGAACAGCCACTATTCATTTTTGTTTATTGTTTTTTAATTTCCGTTAAAGTATTGAGTATGTATATGTTTGTTTTACTTTCCGACTAATTTATTTTCTCGTTGTGGCACGAAATACAACACTCGAGTCCCAAGACTTGTGAAAATAACAAAAGATAAAATAAAGATGATAAAGACATAGATGGAGGTAATGCTTATTCAAGGATTCAAAGTGTGCAAAGATGCGCGGCATCAAAAGGTATGGATGTAGAACAATGAAAATGCAAGAAGAGGCTTGCATGTCGTGATATTGCATGTCACGAAAATGGGACCCCTTGAACTTCCTTTAAGGTCAATAAAGATTCTACCAAAGCTACCACAACTATTTTTTGGCACAAACATAATTGTTCTGCTTTTCTCAGGATACATCCTCCCATCCCTTAACTGTGAGTATTGCACTGCATAGTGTTTGGCTACTTCTTTGGCTTGATTCCCAGATACTTTGAGCCCAGCTTTTGAAGGGATCTGTGCATGTGACTGTAACATAACAGCGGGACCATCATATAAAGATTTTGCTTAAAGACACATAGTCTGCTCACAAAAAAATATTCGCGGTTTTGTTCTTTAACACTTGCTGGGCTGGTATGTGAGAGATCCAAAAACATGTATACAAGCAATTAAAAGGTCAGTCACAATATGTCCCGGTTAAAGTCCTGTTTTGATGGCTGTTATGCTACTTGAATGCTGCAGCCGCACTTTTGTCATAGGACCATGGACGCTGTACCCTGAAGGTCATCTCTCATGAGGTTAGCTGTAGAGCAGGTTAGGGCTTGTTCAATGAGGTCACACCAGCATAGTAGTGCCCATTGTCTTAAGGCTATTGTTTGATGGCTAAGATGGAGAAGCTAACAGTTAGGGAGTGTTCAAATGGTGACGTGTGACAACCTCAGGCTGCGCTGGTAATTGTTTGGCGAGTCCAAACAGGCTCGGAAGGGCGGAAGCTGGTTCCATTTTGCCCCCCTAAGTGTTTTTCTCAGGTTTTGATGCTGCTGGGTTAGATAACGTGGAGCAATTCGGTAAAGGCAGCAGGGAAACTGTTAGCTACCAGACTGGTTCTGGCACTTGCAGTTGGACTTAGAGTAAAAGTGGGGCATGGAGTTCTCCATGGAACACTAACATAGTTTGCACCTCCTCTTCATAACAGAATTCTTTCACAGCTAAAAAAGAGCAATAAAATGAAGCTTATGACCTTACCATTGCTGTTGTTTGTGCATGTGGCGTCTTACAACTATTACAGCTGCAAGAGAGAAATGGAAAATGTCAGAGCTGCAGAAGCTGATTTGTTGAGCTGGTCACAGTTTTAAATGGCACACAAGATTGCAGCCAAGCGTTTTAAGGGGTTCCTGGCAGTGCATTTGTCATCAGTGGACCTGAAACAGCCACAACTTCACATTTCACTCATTGAGATTTGAACACAAACTTACCAACTATTACTGCAACTGAAAGCGCCAACACACTCACAGCGCCAATGATGACAATCAGAGTGAGTTGATCTAA